ATCTCCATCCGATATTTTTGCCAGTCTGTTTGGAGCCAGCTCGGGCAGCTCCAGTGCTAGTTCTGGCAGCTCTGGCATATTTGGAGCCACCAGTGGATCTTCAAGCATATTCGGAAATTCTGGTGCTGTTCCTGGAGAGAGCGCCAACTCCGGTGCTTCAAGCATCCTGGGCTCCAGCGGGAGCATTTTTGGTGCCGGCTCCAGTGGGGCCTCGAGTATTTTTGGGGCAAGCTCTGGCAGCGCATCAAATATATTCGCCTCTAGCGGTCCGGGTGCAGGCCCAAGCACTGGAGCTAGCATCTTCGGCGAGTCGAGCGCTCCGAGCATTTTTGGTGGCAGCTCCAGCGGCTCCAATCCAGGTGCCAGTGGCAGCTCAAGCATTTTTGGGGCCAACACTGGCGGGGGTTCAAGCATGTTTGGTGCCAACACAGCAAGCTCTTCAAATATCTTCGGAGCCAGCAGTGGTAGCTCAGACATGTTCGTTGCTGCTTCCGGAGGAGGTTCAAACATCTTTGGTGCGACTTCGGGAGGAGGTCCCCCTGTGTTTGGAGCGACTTCGGGAGGAGGCTCAAGCATCTTTGGTGCAACTTCGGGAGGAAGCGCAGGCATCTTTGGTGCGACTTCGGGAGAGGTCCCCTGTGTTTGGAGCGACTTCGGGAGGAGGCTCAAGCATCTTTGGTGCAACTTCGGGAGGAAGCGCAGGCATCTTTGGTGCGACTTCGGGAGCAGGTCCCAATGTGTTTGGTGCGACTTCGGGAGGAGGCTCAAGCATCTTTGGTGCAACTTCGGGAGGAAGCGCAGGTATCTTTGGTGCGACTTCGGGAGGAGGGTCAAGCATCTTTGGTGCGACATCAGGAGGAGGCTCCAGTATCTTTGGGGCGACTTCAGGAGGAGCCACAAGCAGCTTTGGTGCGACTTCAGCAGGAGGTCCGAATATTTTTGGTGCAACATTTGGTGGTGCGTCAAACATTTTCGGCGCAAACCCCAGCGGGAGTTCAGGCATCTTTGGCGCTCCAAGTGGTGCAATGTTCGATGCTCCACCTGCTGCCCCTGCGACTGCATCTGGCATTTTCGGCGCCCCGCAGCAGAGTGGGCAGGCGAATGCTTTTGGAGCGCAGAGTGCTGGAGGCGGGGACAAATCTCATATGGGTATGGATTTTTGCAAGGGCTCGGCTAGATTTTGCCCTGAGCTTGCAGAGGCAGCATCTTCCAGTTTGGAGGCCCACCTCCGCAAAGCGCCGGAGAAGCTGCCTTGCTTGTACGCGAAGCATGAGCTGTGACTCTGGCTGTGACTCTGCATTGCGTGTATGGCAGGAGGCTTTGGCCAACCAACGTCTGGCAGTTGCTGCCTTTGTTATTCTCCAGTTGCCTCTGCAGTTTCCGTGCTTTTTGCGGATCTTGTTCACTTTCTCGCTCCCGAGGCAGCATGTTCATGTTTGGGCAGGCTCCACAGTCCCAAGGCTCGCGAATGATTGACACACACATGCATTTCTTTGCATGCTTTTTCTTTTTCTTTTTCGTGTGCTACATGCCGAATGTGACTGTGAGGTGGCGGGTTTGGGCCTTCGCCAGGCAGGAAAAGTATAGACAACTCGGCAGTTAATGAACCTGTTCAAGCGCACCGCATATCAGTGTGCATAGAGATCGGCGTGATTTCACCTAGCAGCTTTTAGTCGGTTTGAACTTGAATTTGTCGGAACAGAGGATTCTTTCCGGAACAAGCAGCCCTGTTGTCTGTTGTCCGGGTTGGGTTGTCTTGCTTGGCCCGCAAAATTCAGTGATGGATCGGCCGAGCGCTTAGTTCAGGGTTCGGTGGTTCTTGGCTCTTTTGCATCTTTGGCTTTGCTGAAGCATTTGTTGTGTGTCGATTGTCTGAAGCATGTTTGGGCTGACCACAGGGAAGGTCTTTCTGAATTGGATTGACGGAGTGAGAGATCTCGCAGGTCGACGGCCTCGAAGCTGTGAGACATTGCCAAGCAAGCTGGAATTTCCTGTTCTGTTGGTGTGTCGGTGAAGGTGTCGTAGGGGTGTTGGCTTGGATGTCGTCTTAGGGTTTAGGGTCTGAGAGTGGGCGTGCGCCAGGATTTTCATAGTATTTAACTATATCTATTCTCTCTCTGTACAATTCGATCTATCTATCTATCTATCTATCTATCTACCTACCTACCTATGTGCGTACCTACCTATCAGAAGCATGGCAGAGCTGTCCTTCTGGGCTGCTCACAGAGGTTTCGTGGAGGTCTCGAGGAGGTCTCGGAGAGGTCTCCCCAGTGGGAAGGACACCATGCAGTCCAGCGTTAGGTCGAAAGAAGCAAAGAACAAATCTGCTAGACATCGCGCAAATATGTTGCGCGCGCATGTGCTCATGAACAAAATGGCCGCTCTTTCTTACATTTCTTGGCTGCGCTGCTGGCTTTTGCGCTCCTCTCCTCAGGTTTTCTTTGTGCCTTGCTGTGATGTTGGATTTTCGGTTTCTCATCCATACAGTGCCAACTTGGGTTTCTAGCCTGTCTCATTTCGTTTTGCGCCAATTGGGCAAAAGTGCCATCAGCCTCCGTTCTTCAACACTTTCTTTTTTGCCGCAGTGCAGGCTTTGGCGCTCCTGCCGCACCTTTTGGCAATCAAGGCGAAGCACGGTGACGAGAGAATGTTTCGATCAAGCGCGGTGCCCGAATGCTAAGCGAGAGAATGTTGAAGTGTGAGGTGCTCCTTTCGGAGGCCAACCCGCAGGACCCGAGCTGCCTTGCAGATTGGGCATTGCAAGCGCTTATCGCAGACTGATTCAGACTCTGTCACTCTGTCATATGCAGGCTTTCAGCCTGTCACAGCCTCGGAGCATAGCCAACGTGAGGGCCTTTTTCTTTGTTTTGAACGCCAGGCTCCCCAGGCCCCGCAGGGTGGATGTGCCTTTGGAGCTCCACCAGGACGAATTTGCAGTCAAGCTGTTGAGCGTTTTGTGCTGAGATGTTCTTATGGGTCTTGGCAGGTCATGCGTATTTTTGGCAGCCACTGGCATATACTTACATATACATAGCTTGCCTTATACCTTGGACAAGTTCGCATTTTGATAGGTTTCTCATTTCTGGACTTTCCTCACAACTTCGTTCCGTTGGGCTCGCCAGCCATGCGTAGCAAGAACAAGCTTTGCCGCTTCTGCTTTTTGCGAGGACAGGGTGCGTTCGGTGGGCAGGTGGGCTTGGGCGAGTGATTCTGCGTGAGGTGATGTTTAGTTCTCAACTGGTAGCGCGTGTATATTATTTGCGTTTGCAGGCGGGTGCTGGCGGCAATCTTTTCGCCAGAAGCTTGAATGGATGCAAGTTATGTTGTGCCGCTGGTTGCTTGGAGTTGCTTTTTCCTGCATCATGCTTTGTGACGCTTTGTGTTTACATGTGGCTGTGTGTGTGTGTGTGTGTGTGTCATGCTCGAAGTCTATTTGATTCGCGTTTCGATTCAAGGCACAGCCAAATGCATCGGGGCCGCCACCTGGGCGAAGGCTGGTGGTTTTCAGTGCTTGACCGACACTTCGAAGGCACTGCGACAGAGCCGGTCGTTGCTTTTGCCTTCCGCATTGAGTGCTCGAACAGGCATTCTGCTCAGCTTTGCATGGACAGCCATAGGCAGCTTTAAGGCCTCAACCAACCACAACTCGCAATTGACAGCAGTTCTCTTTTACCAGAAGCAAACTTCATGGCGTCAGATGGCCCGGCCAAAAGCGTGGTGCGTGACCCTCTGACTGAAACTCGAGCAAAGGACAAGGTCCTCTTGCTTGACGGATGCTCAGACGGAATGCCGGACTTATTTTTGACTTTTGGGTGGCATAGAATTTGGCAACGCTAGCATTGCCGTCGCAGAGAATCTGAGATACCCAGGTGGATTGGCAACCCATATGGAAGCGCCGCTCAGACCCCAATTGAGTTCCGCGCTCTTTCATAGTTGCTGCAGGCAATTCTTCGTGGTTTCAGCTGCCAGACCGACTTGTCAAGGCTAGGTGAGAACATCGATCACTCTCTTTGGTCAGCGTCATGCCTGGTCAGAAATCCCTCGGTGCTTCGCTTAGACCATTTCCGATGCTTGGAGCTGACGCAGGGAATTGCACTTTTCTGTCATCGTGAAATTCTATTCAGATTTGCCATGAGTTAGGTCATTCGCCAAGCTCATGCTGATTACTATTCTGCTGGTGCCTTGCCTCCAGTCGTGCCCTCTTTTCCTTCCGTTGCATGACCCTGCTCAGGTGCAAAGGTTGCCATCACTGCTTCATACCAGGCTTTGTGTTCACAAGATACACGTTTTAGACGAAGAGAAGCCAGATGTGAGCTGAGTTGCCTTTTGCTGTCCTTGGGAGCTGCAGTTTCATCGGAGGCTCACCTGGATGGCTTCAGGGAACTTGGTATTGAAGAATCAGAGGTGCAACTTGCACTCTGCCCTTTCAGCGCTTTCCATCTTGCCATGTGCAGGCGCTTGCTGCTGTGAAGCGCTCCGTGGCGCTAGCGAGGCCCGGCATGCAGCAAGCGAGGGAGCAAAGCCTTCCACTGGTCAGGGAGTCGGCGCCGCGCGGCTGCATCGTTGCTGGCAGCATTGGTTGCTACGGAGCTTCGTAGCTGGGCTCCAGCTTGTGATTTGCAACACGTGCAGAATGCAAGCGTTGCCACCGATGCCATTGGTGCCGTTGATGCCTCGGTGAATACTGCATGAGGTTGCACAACGGCGCCGAATATACTGGCGAGTATCCAGGTGGGCCAAAGTCATTCTCTGTCATGCAAGCCTGTGGGGACGTCACAGGCATGGATGAGCAGCGCCTTCTGGAATGGCATCGGCCAAGAGCCAGGGCTTTGGTGGATGCCGGCTGTGATGTGCTTGCTTGTGAGACAGTGCTGCAGCCTCAGCCTTGGCTTGCAGACTGAATGTGCTCATTCGCTCCCTCAGTCCGAAGGCCTAGTCTGATGGAAGCGCGCTGTTTCGCTAGGCTTGCAGAGGCAGGAAAAGTCATGTTGTGTGGATGCTCTTGAAGTTTAGCCTAACCGGCTGCACTCTTCAGGAGATGCAGCACCCGGCTTGGATCACTTTCTCCTGCAAATCCGGGACACAAGTTCACTCGGGCGACCTTTTTGCAGACTGTGTCAAGGCGGTGTCTCAATGCGATTGGGTTGTTGGAAGCTTGGCTTTTCAAAGTTTGGAAGTGCTTAGTACAGCTCTTACGTGCATCATGACGCATGTCATCACTGAGGAGCTGGTGTCAATTGCACACATCCAAAGTTTGTCAGTGAGTTGGTGAAGATATGTCGCCAAGCGCTGCCTTCGCGGAAAAGTGTTGTGGTCTATCCCAACAGCGGCGAGGTGTGGAACGGTGTGACTCACACTTGGGAAGCTGGAACTGCTACTGCTGACCAACAGTTTCTCTCTTGCAAGCCATGCTGGTGCCACATCAGTTTTGTGCAAGTCCCGCCGCAGTTTTGTTTGGCAGTGGTTAGGGATGTCTTGCTCATCATCCACGTTCTTGCCTTGTCCTCACCAGTGCACTTAGTTTTAAAGTTTGCTCCCAGTTGCACACCCATGGGAGGGGTTGAGTGTCGTCTGCATCACACGGCAAACAGACACCGGCCTGATTGAATGCTGGTCAGAATTGGTTAGTTAAGTGTGCATTCACCGGGTGCGGGTGCTATGTTGGAAGACGTGCGGATGCTGAGGTATGATGGTTTGGGCTCAGGTGCTAGCAGGATGTTTTTTCGGGACTGGCAGGGGGGGGCTGCTTGGCAGCTGTCGGGGAGTTCTGGCGAGTTTGGGATTGGTTTAGGTCTCGTTTGCGGATGTGGGGTTGGCTGAGGGTTGGTTTAGTGCTGGTTGGTTATGGGGCAGGTTAGGATGTGGTTTGAATTTGAGGTTGGGATTTGAGGTTTGGAGTTGGTTCAGTGTGGGTTTAGGGGGGGTTAAACGGGTTTAGAGGTGGGTCTAGGGTGCGTTTCGTGAAGAAAGACGGTCACTGACCAACACCGAGCAAAAGCGGCCACCGACCAAACACTCCACAAAATTACACCAACGAAGACCCCCCCCCAGTTCAACGTGATCAGCCAGCGCCCGGAATGCGGCCCCGAGGCGATCTCGACCTTGAGGCTGAACAAATCAACCACTCGCACACTAGAGTGTCATCAACCACGACCTCGGGCCCCAATGTGGCCGACCGAAACCTCGGGCGGTGATCGACGCGGTCTACCAGGATGTGTGGGTCCGAGGAGGTCCACCGCAACCTCATCTCCTCGAGGTCTTGGGTGACAAAGTAACCACGCCCTCATTGCAGTCGACCGCTCTTGTGACCGACCGTGTCGGGGCCAAAGGTCGAGACTTCAGGCACCGAGGTACTCGACCGCAAGACTTCGGGCTGCGAGGTGGTTGTGACACCATCAGCGTCACTTGCTCTTTGCCTTTTTCTCAGCGGAGAAACATTTGCCGTCTTGCTTTCTTTGTTCAAGACGAAAGGGCGGACGTTTGAGGTTCTTACGTGCCTGCCATCTGGCAGGGAAAGACCGCGCCCCGCGCTTCCTGTTCTTTTCCTAGCTGTCGTTTGGCCATTTTCGCTAAACGGACAGAGCAGGTGCTCGAAGTCCTTACGCGGCTGCCGTGTCAGCCGCACTTTCCACACCATCAGCGTCGCATGTTCTTTGCCCTGTTCTCGGCTAACGTCTGCCCCTTTGTCGTAGTGGGCTCCATGCTGTTCACGAATTTATGAAGCGTCGCGAGACGAAACCTGTAGTGGTTTGGTTCAAGAGCCCCCGCGGCATGCTGCTGGAGAGTGCCCTCGCGGGTGCTACGCGCAGAGTCCTTGAAGTACAGATGGCAGGACTTAGATGAAGTGGTCATGCGCGGCCCGAAGATGGGTTAGGAAGCCAAGGACGCTTCGAACGCTGTCGTCCAGCGCTTGGAAGCCTTCAAAGCTCGAGCGGGGTCCGCTGGAAAACTCGTCTAATGACGAAGGGCGAGCAGGCCACGAAGAAGAAGCGGTGTTGGCTTGGTCTGTGAAGGGAGAGAAATCCGGGGCTTGTCCCCAGTATGCCGAAGCCGCTGGGCGCTGACTGGGTTTCCTCCAGCAGGAGAAAAGCGGCCTTGCCGCATGGCGGAAATGCAGAGTAGCTGGAGGACGCATAGCCCGACAGAGTAGAAGTGGCGATGCTATCGTGACGCGTGTGCCAGCTGCCGACAGAGCAGCCAGCGCCTGACCGCGTTGTGCACGAGTGCCCCCTTTGCCTCGTTTTCAGTTGGGAAACATTTGCCCTTGCCGTTTTCGTTAAACGAGCGCGGGCAGATGCTGGGCGTCCTTATGTAGCTGCCGGTTTTGCTATTCTGCGTCCACTGTTCAAAAAGAACATGCGCCTTATTGCTGTGTTCAACATTTGAGTCAACGCACGCCGCGCCCTCAGCGTCGCCTCTCCGCATTGCCAGCATCATTTCAGTATTTCCTGCTCTTTGTTTGCCTTCTTCTCAGCTGCAAACACATGCGCCCAATTGCGTCTTTCGTTCAATGTAAAAGCGCGGCCTGGGCATACGAAGCGAGACAAGGCGAGACAAAGCCACAGCGGAGAAAAGAGACAAGGGGAGACAAGGGAAGACAAGGGAAGACAGGCGGAGTCAAGGGGAGACAAAGTGCTGTCCAAACTTGACCAGCGGAGACAGCGTCCAAGACAATTCGCGCCTGTTTCGACCTCCTTAGATGCTGTGGTCGAAATGGGGGCCGGGGTTTTGCTTTTGGCCTCCTGCAAGCATGTGTTTTTCCTGGCAACGCGGACCCTTCCAGGTGGTTTTTCTTTGATTCCCTTTGATTTCTGCTGCCTCGTGTGTGAAACGAGATAAGTGGAGACAAGGCAAGACAAAGCGTCCTTGAAGGGGAGCACATATGGAGGGACACACGTGGTGACGTATGAAGGGAGACAAGGGGAGAGAAGGGGAGAGAAGGCGAGACAAAGCTGCAGGAACCCTGGGAGAGGAACCCGTCCAGGCCACCCCACCTAGGCTTGAAAGAATCAAGACCGTTTGGGGAAAAACACCGACCAAGATGGGCTACTGACCCAAAAACTGGTCAAAACCAACCGAAATCAACTAATCCAGACTACCGACCAAAGCTGACAACAACAACGGCAACCGACCAAAATCTTTCAAAACCGAGCAATAGCAACAGAATTCGGCCAATGACCAAAAATCAAGAATCCCGACCACAACCGAAACGGACAAACGCTGACCGACGCCGACAAAAAGCCGATAAAAACCCGCCGACCAACATCGATGCGAGGTCCCGTCATCAAGCAAGTTCAAGCTCCCCTTTCTTCTGAAGCTTTCCACCCCCGTGACTATCAAAGTTGGGCAGCTTGACCTGGCGTTTGTCTTGAATTGTTCTTGTCTTGAATTATTATGACACTGTCAGGTTCGTCAAAATGGCCTTGCAATGGTCTGCACTTGGAGCTGATTGCATCGGGGGGTGCTGTCGGACATCTCCTTCGACGATTTCTGCACTGAAAGTGGCATTCTCCGCCTGACCTCTTAGTCGCTGTGCTACGTGCAAGCGTTGCAGATGGTTCGGAGACCTTCAGATGCTTTCGGGAAGGATGAGACTTGCGTACGTAGGTGCACTTTGCCTTCAGTGTCAGACAAGTCTCAGGTGTACATACTGGCCATGGTATCCGGGAATGCTGCAGATCAGAATAGGTTGAGAAGGCTCCAAACTGTCCTTTCCAAAGAACGGTATTGCGTTGCGTGGGAAAAACCTGATAAGGCAGAGCACGAGACGATTGCGGGTTCTTTTTGATGAGGCTTTTGGCAAATTTTGAGCCGGAAACAGCCTCACAGCTGCTTCGTCCGACCGCACTTTGTAGCCAGAAATATCAGCTCTACCGCTCAGCCCCTTCTCTCTCACTCATCTCTCCGGGTAGAGCCAGATCTGGCCCAGAGGAAAACAAGCCCTGCAGAGAGCGCATGCCTGCTTGTGTTGTGGATTTCAAGACCAGCGTATTTGCTGCCAGGATAGTGAAAGCCAAGCGACGCGCTGGCTAACCCGTGACTCTGAATGTGGGACGTTTTCACGAAGGTTGCTGCAGCCAGTACTTGCAACTGTTTCACTGATAGCGTGGTTGGTGTAGTTATCCTCATGTGAAGAGGACATGCAGTCTAAAAGATCAAAGAATCAATTTTGTGGCCTTGTCGCAGGAGGTCGTGGATGGTTTGTCTCATGGTGACCACTTCAATGACCATTGAACAATGTGGCAATTTCTGGATCGCTGTTTCGGCTGGAAGCTGCAAGCCAAGTTGCCCCGCGTCGCCGAACGCTGGGTGCCTGGGCTTTCTTTGTGCGCTGTGCGCTTGACATGGGCATATGAGGATCTCTCAATCAGTCCTTGAACTTGACGTCTTGGCTTGAGGCGACCTTGTGGGCTGCCGATCCACACTGCAAGGCATGAGTGTTTTGGAGAGTTGCCTAGAATGCGCCTGAAATGAACCCGTTCTTGGGCAAATGCACGCCACCAGCTTGAAATATTTTGGTGGCAGCTTGCTTGACCAAATGCTTGTTTGTATACTGGGCGATTGGCGTGTCTCGCTTGTTCAATGCCATGCGTAAGACTTAAGAAAGACAAAGTCAGTCCCTTGCCATTTGCCTATTGAACAAGCCGCGGGACTCAAAGAGGGTTTTCACCCAAGAGAACATGGGGTATATAATCGGTATATACGGTATAGCCTGTGTGGCCCTTTCAATGTGGCCGTGTTGAGGTTGCATGGGGGAGTAGTGGTTTGGGGGTAGTGGAAGCCGTCCTAGATGGACAGAACAGCAATGCCCTGTAGTTTATCGCTCGTTGCTAAGAGAAGATTCAAGACTGGGGGTGATCTATGATTTGTGCATGGTTGTGAAGATTTGGTAATTGGACTTGAGGGGCTTCCAGTCTCAGTGATCAGAAGTGACCATGCTTGGACATGGGCCGCCCAATCATTTCGAATTGAGCACGCCATGGGATCAAGTGATTCTCATGCATAATTCAGTTGGCTGCTGAATGTACCTGCAGAACTATGATTGACAGTGAGACTTGGCTAGCTTTTGGCCAGTTTGCCATGTTTTTCTTGTGCAATGTCACCATCTAGCTCCTCCCAACCTCTCTGTCTTCAGGGGGCCTTAGCTTTCTCAAAGTGAAAGCGGTTGATGGTGGCGCTGCATGCTTGTCAGTTGAAAGGGCACAACGATCCTCAATATGAATCTTTGGACGGAGGTCCAAAGTGCCTTGAGATGGGCAGCTGGAGTGTGGATCCCAGTTATGATGTAAACGACACCCTACATGCAGAAGGCATGCCTACACTACACTGCCAAGGAAATCCTTATGCCTCAACACCAGGCGGAGCATATTCTGGCTACTCCGCATGCTGCCCAGCATACACTTGCGCAGAAGCTGGCGTGATTGCGCTTGGCTGGAATCTGTGGCTGACATGCGTAGCTCCTCAGGCATTACCATATGCGTCGGCGGCCAAGCCAAACGGCAGCAAATTTGTTTCATGAGACGAATGAATGCAACGGATGCAACGGACGCCCTGCGGGCAGGTCCAACGGAAACGGCCATGCTGGCCTCACCGTCAAGGAAGCCTGCGATGCTGCAGGCCACAGCTCAAGCCAGCTTAGATTGAAGTCGATGAGTTGATAGGTCGTGGAGAGACCAGCGGTGAATGTGTTGCGGACCATGAGATCAGTGTGATGGGACCTGTCGGGCCCTGAGTGTGACAATGCAGCCGGGACATTGCGTGAGGACGTGAGGGCTGCATGTTCAGGCCAAGCCAGACTACCTTTGTAACGCAGCGCCAGGATGACAGGCCAGTGCAGCCGGTGAAGGTTAGCTCGTTTCAAGAGATTCGAGAGCTGCTGCCTCAGCATGTTTGTTTTGCAACCCAGACTGTGCAACATGTGACTCTCTGGCCCGAGGTTTCCTCCAGAGATCCAAGACCAATTTAGGCCGCGACACCGGGCATGGCCCTTGGAAGTGATTTCCTGGAGGGTTGGCTTCAATTATTTAATTATTTGTATCCTATCATGTGAGGTTTGGGTTTCATGCTGGATCACGGCTCCAATCACAGATGAGTTGCTTGAATGCGAGCGTGGGCAGGCGCGCAGGCTTTCCTGGTCCGTCACAAATCCAGGCCCAACCTGAGTTGGCTAGGAAGGGCTCGATTCAATGTGACTCATGTCGAGCTCGGCTTCACAGCAGGCGTACACCTGGCCCCTTGCTTTGCAGGGCAAGGCAGATTTGCGAATTTGGGCAACGCAGCGTTGACTTGACATTTCTGAGGATGTGATTGGGATTGCAGCAACAGGCGTCGCATGTGCTCTCAGGATGCATGCCACCTGAGCCAAGCATAGAAGCAAGCATTGCAGGGAGTGGCAAGACTCTTGCCTTCTTGCTGCCTGCATTTTGCGAGATGAGACTTGCATGCAAATTTAACAGTATTGCACGGCTTCAGATTCATGCCAAGCATATGTGCTTTATTCTGAGTACCAGCGTAAGGAGAAGAAAAGGCAAGAATGTTTGAGTTTTTTTGCACTGACAATTGCTGAGTGCACCTTGAAACAGGTCACAACCCAGATAGATATGGACCTGGTCTTCTTGTTATGCAGGAGCCTTCGGCGCGCACGTGCTTTCGGTTGCCCTCCGGCAAGCTTGCCCAGGTCTCCCACCAGAGAGCTTGCGCAGCAGACAGAAGCAGAGGTCAGAACGGTGAGAACGGTGAGAACGGTGAGAGTGGGCAAGCAGCAATCGCAGCCCTTGCAGCGCTTTGTGTACAGGCCCAACGATTTGGAGCATCCATAGGTTTCAATGTCGTGGCAGCCCTGGATGCCAAAACGAGCAGCTGGCAAGGGCAAGCACCAACGCATACGCTGCCTACAAAAGCTGAGGTGGCTATGTATGGCGGCTCTCCAAAGAATGAGCAAATCAGGAAGCAATTGCCTCACGAAGAAGGAAGCGCGATGCCAAGATGGCACTTTGCGCCTAGGTATCGATACGGTGTTCACAGCATCGTGGCGTTTTGGCCTCGGATTGACATACAGATCCTGTTCTGCTATCATGCAATCTGACAAGTCCTAAGAAAGTTTATGGCTGAAGGTGCCCGGGCCGTTTGAATGACTTCCTGGAGGGTGGGCAAGTGCGCTTGGATGCTGCCGAGCCCCTGAAGTTTGTTTGCATCATGCAGCATCCATTTTTGTCAAAGCACCGGATTGCTTTGAACGGATTGAGCCCAGGTCTCCTGCTTGGTGCTGGACGAAGCCGATCGCATGCTGGACATGGGCCTGACCCCCGGGAGCCACTGGAGCTTAGATGTTCGAAAATTGGCCGTTGGGCGACTCATAGTGACGAGCTGGGCTGGTTGGATGGAATGGGACGCATCGCGTCACTTCTTGAAAGAGAGAGTGCTGCAGGTGTGGCTTGAACAAGGAACAACAAGTCTGCGCAGACAAGACTGTTGTCAAGCATCAACCCTTTTGCTGGGTCTGGCTTTCACGGTTAGAATCTTGGCAGCCATAATGAAAGTGCACATCTTCCACAGAGGATATCAATTTCTCACTTCTGAAGCAGCCCGATACTGCCAATTCCCAACAGGCCGAACATCATCACCTTTTGGCGCTCTTGAGCAAGCTGCCAAGCTTTATTGCTGAACGGTTTCAACATTGCTATAATGCACAGCCCAAGGCAAAGTCAGTCCCAACTCAACAGAAAGGACATCATACACAAAGTAAATAGCCACCAAGTAGTAGAATGCAACAGATGTTTGGACGTACTCCAGCTTACAGCTCAGCTTGTCAGTGGAGAGTGGAGAGTTCGCACAGCGTATTAAACAATGCGCGCTCCTAGGACGTGCTTCGTCGGCGTCACTAAAGGCAGTAAAGTGGGCCATGTTCTTTACTCTAAGGATTGCGTATTCCCAGCACGTCTGTTGTGAGTAGCTTGCCACGGAAAGATGAGCATGAGCCACAAGCTTGCATTTTAGCACTATCCAGATTGATGAGGGAGTATAGATTGATGGACAGTGAGAGAGCAGTAGCCAATTCGAATCCTGAATCAAGGTTTTGAGCCACAGATTCGCAAGATTCTTGCCAGGACCGGGTTGGAACAGTGCGAAACATGCAATGGCTTCTGTTATTCCAGGATTCCGCGCAATCGTCACACCATGTTCTTCACTGCCACATGGCCGAGGGAGGCCGGATACAACTACAGCTGACAAGTGCTTGATATATCACGCAGGTGCGATCCCTTGCCGCTGACATCCTGTACCATCCGTACAAGGCACGCTGACGCGAGTGAAGAAGCCCTCTTAGCGAGTTGACCATTGCAGGTAATGATTGGCAACCGTGATGAGTTGAAAGGCAACCAGGAGTCGCCATAGCTTGCACCTGCCGAGAGCATCAGATTGTGTGTCCCTGGTTTCGACAGCAGTATGTTTGGGATTCACAGGACATCATCCAGCAGGTGAGGTTTGTGGACGGCTATAGCAAGGAGCAACCGCTTGACCATTCGAATGCAACAGCCAAGCTGATGAAGCGTTGACAGATTCGGACCTGGTATTGTCAGGAACGCGCAATTGTAGATCTGCTGAAGGAGGCGATGGCTGCAATTTTGTCGGGATTCTGAACTGCAGAGATTGAGGCTGGACTTATGGACCGGCACAGCAATGGCAAGGAGTGGCCACCTTTTGGCTCAGTGTTGCCATTGCCTGGCTGCAAGTTGCTTGCAGCGATTTTGCTTGTGTTCAGATTTGTGGAGAGGCCTTAATTTTTGCCGGGACAAAGCGAGAGTGTGAGCGGCCTGGTACTCAGGGATCCAGTCGTAAGGGGAGGTTGAGACTTTCGTCTCAAGACCGCTGAACTCATCGCTTAAAGGTAGGCCTTGTCGCTGGGAAACATCTCACCAAAGCTAGAGGGCTTGTATGTTGATCTATTCCTTTTGTGGAGATGCTGGCAACCCAGGCTCTCTAGCAGCCTCTACAGAGCAGGAGTCCCATGCTCTTCGATTCATGGTGACAAGGACGGAATGCACGACAAGCTGGTGTTTGGGTTTGTGTCCGCTTCCGCCTTGTTTCTCGCAAGTCTGAGCTCTTTCGCATGAGAATGAGAAAGCAACGCCAGCAACGAATTCCCAGTTTGCATAACACCATCCTGCCCCAATGTTCGTTGAAAGGACCAGCGGCAACGAGATGAAGCCTTGAGCGGCTTGAAGTCTGGACACATCAAGGTGGGCGTGGGCTGGATATTTCCTGCTTACACGCATTTGTTCAGGTGTTGGTGGCAACCGACGTTGCAGCGCGAGGTCTTGACATCAAGGGAGTCAGATGCTCAGTTTGGTGCTAATGAATAAGTAAGGTTTGTCAATATTGCATGTCTCAAATCCCACGTGGAAGGTAAAAGCAAGGTGATAGCAGCTTTTGCAGTATGTTTTTCCTTTTCTATGTTTCCCTCCTCCTCTCACTTAGAGCTTAAGAAAGCACGCCAGAAAGTAAAGAAGCACATGGATTCAAACTAGCATGCAAGCAACCCAACCTTGGCGCAGTGCCGGGTCCACCTTAAGCTAAGCTTGCACACCGCAACTCTAGACCAAGCAATCACCCAACTGCATATTGTGAGGGACTCAAATGAAGTGCGGTCAGAAGTTCCAAAAAATCCAAGTAGTCTAAGATTGGACATCCATATAACTTAGAGTGCTTGAAGTCACGAAGAACGATAGGGCCGACAAGGGACTAAAGCAACAATTCCTTTTGCCTATGTTTTTGCTGCCAGAATATGCTTGAGATTGCAAAGTACACGTAAAACTTGTGATTTTCGAGCCGGAGCTGCCGAATTTGTACTTCGATACTATAACATACTTAGAATGCTACAGGTGCACTGAAAGTTGCGACTTTCAAGCCGGGGCTGCCGAAGTGTATTTCGCGTACTGGCTTGTACTGAACAGTTGCGACTTTCAAACTAGATCTGCCAAAGCATACTAGACTTGCACTGAGAAGTTGCCAATTTCTTCGAGCGTACTTCGCGTACTAGACTTGTGCTGAAAAGTTTTGACCTTTGAGCAGGAGCTTCCAAGGAGTACTTTGGGCTCCTGTGCTGAAAAGTTGCGACTTTCGAGCCGAATTCGCCAAAGTGTACTGCCCGTGCCACACTTGTGCGCAAACTTGCGACTTTCGAGCGGGGGCTTCCAAGGCATTCTTTGCTTGCTAGACTTGTGCTGAAAAGTTGTGACTTTCGAGCGCAATGGAGCGCTTTGTGCTAAACGCAATGTGACGTGCCATGTGTGTTAATGTACTGGAATGTGATGCAATGCAATGTGGAAGGTGCCCCTTGAAGGCGTTCACGACGTCCTGAAACATTAGGCTGGTCTACCAGTCCAACAAAGGCAAGGGCAAGGGCAAGGCCAAGGGCAAGAAGAAGGGTCACTATCATAACCGGAGACCAGACAGGCAAGACATAGGCGTTGCCTGGAACGCTCAAGGTGCCCGTTGCAGGTACGCGTGCGGCAGGGTTCACGCCTGTCAGATCTGCTTTGGAGACCATCCAGCTCACGCTTGCGACAAGAGCAAGGGCATCTCCGGCACGGCAGCAACGCCGACGGTAAGCAAGAGAAATGAGGGGGGCAGCCTCCGAGCGCCCAAAGGGGTTGCGCTGCAGATTGGCGCCGCGCGTCAAAAATGGAAGGTCCTCCACCTCTTCGCTGGAGCAGAGCGGCGCGCTTCAATGGGTCAATGCTTGAGAGATCTGGCAAGGAGGCTGCGGTGGACCTGGAGGCGGTTGAGTTCGACATCGAGCGAGACAAAGACCACGAGAAAAAGATAGACAAGAGAAGACGAGAGAAGAGACAAGAGAGACAAGAGAGACAAGAGAGACAAGAGAGACAAGAGAGACAAGAGAGACAAGAGAGACAAGAGAGACAAGAGAGACAAGAGAGACAAGAGAGAGACAGAGAGACAGAGAGACAAGCTAGAGCAGAGAAGAGTCAAAAGAGCAGAAGGGAAAGAAGAGAAGAGGGAAGACAGAGTAGACAGAGAAGACAGAGAAGACGGAGAAGAGAGAGAAGAGAGAGAGAGAGCAGAGAGAGAAAGGGAAGAGAGAGAAGAGAGAGAAGAGAGAGGAAAAACATAAAAAAGGAAGAAGCGAGGAAAGAGAGAGAGAGAAAGAGAGAGAAAGAGAGAGTGAGAGAGAGAGAGGGAGAGAGAGAAGAGAGAGAGAGAGAGAGAGAGAGACAGAGTGAGAGACAGAGAGAGCGAGACAGAGAGAGAGAGAGAGAGAGAGATAGAGAGAGAGAGAGAGAGATAGAGAGAGAGAGAGAGAGAGAGAGAGAGAGAAGAGAGAGAGAAAGAGAGATAGAGAGAGAGACAGAGTGAGAGACAGAGAGAGAGAGAGAGAGAGAGAGAGAGAGAGAGAGAGAGAGAGAGGAGAGGGAGAGAGAGAGAGAGAGAGAGAGAGAGAGGCAGAGAGAGAGAGAGAGAGAGAAGGAAGAGAAAGAGAGGGAAGAGAGGGAAGAGCGCGAGGGGGAGAGAGGGAGAGGAGAAAGAGAAGAGAAGAGAGAGAGAAGAGCGAGAGAGGGAGAGGAGAAAGAACAGAGAAGAGAGAAGAGAGAAGAAGAGATGACAGAAGAAGAGGAGAGAGAAAAGAGAAGAGAGAAAGAGAAAGAAGAGAGAGAAGAGAGAGAAGAGAGGAACAGAGAGAATAGAGAGAGTGTGAGAGAGTGTGAGAGAGGTAGGGGGAGACAAGAGCGAGAAGAGCGAGAGAGGGAGAGGAGAAAGAAGGAGAGGAGAGAAGAGAGAAGAAGAGATAGGAGAAGAAGAGGGGAGAGAGAGTAGAGAAAGAAGAGAGGAGAGTTAAAGGAAGAGAGAAGAAGAATGAGAGAAGAGAGAGAATAGATAAGACGAGGAGAGAGAAATGAGAAGGGAAAAGAAACAAGACGAAAAGAAAGAAGAAGAGGGAAGAAAAGAGTGAAGAGAACAGAGAAGAAAGGAACAGAAGAGAGGTGGAGAGGAGAGGAAAGAAGAGAAGAGAAGTAGCGTGCGAAAGACCCGCAGCTCGAAAGTTGCGCTTTTCAAGTGCGAATGTAGTATGCGAAGCGCTTTCTGGGAGCTGTTTTTTTCAGTACGAATGAAGCGCGCGAAGTACATTCCGGGAGCTGCCGTTCGAAACTCGCATGCTTTCAGCACGAATGTGCCACGCGCAGTGCGTTGCGGGAAGCTTGAAAATCGCATGTTCTAAGTACGAAAGTAGGATGCGAAGTATATTCCGAGAGCTGCGGGCTCGAAATTTGCTTCTCCTTTTTAACGTAGTTCACGAAGTACACCCCAGAGCTTTTCAGTACGCATGTAGCACGCAAAGTACATTCTGGGAGCTGTAGCTCGAAAGTTGCATTTTTAGTACGAAAGTAGCACGCGAATCGCATTCCGTGAGCTGCAGCTTGAAAATCGCACTGCCTCAGTACAAAAATTGTATTTGTTAAAGCACCACTGCCTGTGCTGCAGCGCCAACTCCCGCGTTTGGCGGACGAGATCCTTCCTGCTCTCCCCCCTCAGCCTGAGAAACTGTATGGGCTGTGCCTTCAGAGTCATGAGAGAACTGCAGAAAGAGAAGAGAAGAAGAGAAGAGCGAAGAGGAGGACGAGAGGAGAGGAGAGGAGAGAAAAGAAGAGAAGAGGGACAAGAGAAGAGGAGAACGAAGAGAAGAAAGAAGAAGAGGAAGACGAGAAACAAGAAGAGGGGAGAGAAGAGAAGAAAGAAGATAAGAGAGAAGACGAGAACCAAGAAGAGAAGAAAGAAGAGAAGAAAGAAGATAAGAGAGAAGAGAGAAAAAAGAAGAAAGAAGAATGAAGAGAAGAAAAGAAGGGAAACAAGAAGAGAAGAAAGACGAGAAGAGAGCAGAAAGCGAAGAGAAGAGAAGAGAAGAGAAGAGAGAAGAAGTAAGAGAGAAGAAAGAAAGAAGCAAGAAGAGAGGAAAGCAGAGAGACAAGAAGCAAGAAGAGAATAAACAGAGAAGAGAGGCGTCTTCGCTGCAGCTCCTGCGCCGGGACAATACGAGTGCGGAACTGGCAGCTTTTTTTGTAGCGTGTGGGAAAATGTGTGCTTTCGGGTTCTATCTTGTTGTGCAAGGGCCAAGGGACATGCAGGCAATGAACCTTGAGGGGGATGGGTTGGTGGGCGAGGTAGCCTTTTTGCAGCCAGGGCCTCTTGAATCTGATCAAGAGAGAAGGAAACGGCAGGGACGCACCGGTGTTTTACCCGGGCTCCTCCATGGAGGGCGTTCGTCAGCGACACGCCGAAGGTGAACTTCAACTTTGCCGTGAAGGGTGAGTTCGGCAAGGTTCTCGACGGAGGGAAGGGCGAGTTCACACAGGAGACGAAGGGCAAAGGCGTGTTCCGGGGCAAGGGCAAGGGCAAGTTCAGCAATGGCAGGGCGAAGTTGATGGGCGCAAAAGAGGAAAACGTGAACCGCAGGAAGGGTCTTCCCCTTCTGCAAGCGGGGTCAGGCCGGAATCCTTCGCAAAGGCAAACGAGGCGAGCGCTCAAGCAGAAGCTGGCGGGGGAGCTCAAGGCAAACTCCTGGCCAGCTCCACGAAGAAAGCAACAAAGGAAAGGAAGAGGCAGATCTAGCCAGGGCAGCGAAAGGAGGCAAGGCCGTTTATCTGCTGGAGGAGGAGACGTGGTGGCGGTTGCAGCAGCATTGTTGGAAGCGGGGTACAAGTCAGCGGAGACGTGCCTGACAGAGCTTCGGCAGGGCCACGTGGGGCGGAAGCACCAGCTGGATCCCTGGCTGCTGCTGGTCTATGCGACACGCGCGCACGCGCTGAGAAGAGGCCGAGGCCACGAGCGCCGGACCTGACCTTGGATGACATGAAGAAGGCGAGAGGCAATAAAGCAAGTGACAGGACTCCGCCGGACATGATCGTCAACCGGGCGGGCCAGCTTCAATTGGTCCACTTGGTCAGGCCCGCACCGGCGTCTGCTCCAGCGTGGGCTTGGAGGAAAGCGCGGGTGGCAGTTTGCGACAGGCAACTACCGCCCACTTTCAAAGGAAGAGAAGGGCGGCCATCTCTGCGTGAAGTGTTTCAGCGAAGGCTCGCGGACTGCCAGAGAGGACAATGAGGCTGGCATTGGAGGAAGCTCCCACGCCGAACAACGCCAACTTGGAAAAGGCGCTCCCGCCTTCACAGCTTTTGAGAAGGTAGGGAGGAAGTAGGGGAATGCAGCTGCTTGTCGTGCAAGGGCCAAGGTTTTGAGGGACATGCAGGCAATGAACCTTCAGGGGGATGGGTGGGCAAGGTAGCCGTTTTGCAGCTGCAGGGCCTCAACTCAGGCGGCAATGCTTTTGATGCCCCACCCACCCGCTCCTGATTAATTCGGAGTTTGTGTGAGGACCATGAGGCTGGCGAGCCAATCCAAGCTGGTGAGTTACTGGCATTGGAGGAAGCTCCCATGCCGAACAAAGCTAACTTGGAAAAGTTATCCCGCTTTCACAGCTTTTAGAAGAGAAGGTCGGGAGGAAGTAGGGGAACGTGCCTGCTTGTCTTTGGAAGGAGATGTGTCTAGTAGGGCAGCCAACGCCAACCAACTCAGACAAGTCGTGTAGGCACTGAGACATTCCAGCCTAAACTTGGTTCACAGGTGTTTTTTGCGCTGTTGCCACTGTCTCAAGGTCGGTCTTGTGGTTAACTATGACGCTGCCAACAACACGGAGGACCCATCCACTGGCCACCACAGGCCAATTTTGGCACCCGATTTATTGTGTTTGCTCCTGTAGGACTATGTGCATCGCATTGGCCGAACAGGGCGTGCAGGATGTAAAGGTTTTGCAGTCGGCCGCTGAGTTTCGCCTGGCACTATGCATGCACAAGTCCCATTTCCGGCCAAGGTTACATTTTTGGACAGAAGGCAAGATGGGGGAAAAGCAAAGGGCATCATGGAGGCTCCGTGACACGCAATGTCATACAATACATATGATGCAGCAATGCCCGCACATTGATTTTGCAGAAGACCATGCGGATGGAATGTTTAGGTGATGCAGCGGACAAACCAGGAGGTGCCTTCCGAATTGATGGATATGGCCGTTTGGCAGCAAACATGAAACTAGATTCCTTGTAAACCACAGAATTGCAGTGGCCTTCTGATGCTGAACGTTCAACTTTGTTTTCAGCTTTATCAGCATGTTTGTTTGCGTGTGTGATGTTTGTCGCATGTTCACTGGCTCAAATTGCCCCCGAACTCCCGCTTCGCAATTGACAACTGCCAAGCACAACACATCAAAACGCATGGACGGAGCCGGCCCGAAATTGGGGCCGGCAACAAGCTGGACCCAACCATCAATGGGTTGCGTTCTATGCTTGCCATGCCAGATTTTGAGGCGAACTGCTGTAATAGTACACCAAAAGGAAAACTGTTTGCCTAGACCCTTAAACTTGCCTGTTTGAGTCGCTAACTTCGCAGCCACACCTGCGATAGAACTGAGCTCCTGTCGAAGCCAGACATGCGCCGAACTACTCATGAACTGCCTTGTCAAGAAAACATTTCACTTTTCCATTCCCAACTCCTCTTTAAATGCTTCCAGCCGCATTTCAATGCGCATCATATTTGTCTAGTAGAAGTATCGTCAAACAAGGCATTTCATCAAACACCTCAGCGAGTATCAGCGCCATTTTCTTTACCTCGGTCACCCCAAGTGGTCAAGCATGCGTCGTCATCCTTCCTGCGCGGATAATTGAGCTGTTCTATGAGCCAATGAGGTGGCTTGGGGGCCCTTTTCAGCATCTAAGGCACGATCAGGCGGCAACGACCGAGGCAGATGGGGCCACGGCCCCAAGCAATCCTCATACTCTTGTGATTTGAACAGCTTAGCCTTAGGTGGCCGTGGAGGAGGCGGTCGAGGTGACGGCAGTGCGTATTGCAATCTGAAGTGGCTGTGGCTCAAGAAATGTGCCCAAATGGCCCCCTTGGGAATTGGAACCAAAGACTAAAATCTGCGTAACCCTAGCTCTTGAATTTTGAGCCACACCCAAGGGGGGTGCTATGGGCACATGTAAATCATGCACTATCGAGGCGGCGGAGGTGGTGGTGGTGGTGGCGGTGGTTGGGCCTGAGCCTTATTGAGCCTTACTCTTTTTCAATCACCGCAACGCTACGTGGTGCCAAGAGTTGCTTCGCCAAGGGTACAAACGCGTTTTGCTTTGTTCAGGGTGGTAACAGAGGACGCAGCCGCACGCCCTGCACGGATTTGCATCACGACAAGTATCTTTGGATAGTTTGTGCAGAAAAGTGTCCACCTCATGCTTTCTGCCAGGCAGTCCTCGACGATGGTAGAGCTATGGTGAGTGCCGTGGACGCTTTTCGCTGGATTTTACATCGGGGACTGAGTGCTTCTTGCAAGTGCAGCCAGACCTTCCAGACAACTCCCGGATTGAAGCTTTCCAGTGCAGACACATCGGAGCCCAGAGCTGGCGCACTGGCACCATACAGTCACTGAGTCACTGCTGTGCTTGACAGTATTCTGAAGTTGCTCACATCAGTCTCACGGCCTTGTGAGCCTTGGAGCACATGCGGTGGATGCCAAGAGAGACCGTTGAATGCCCCGTCGTAGATGTCGAAATAGGGGCATCTTCAGTGCGTTTGGCTTCACCGCTCCCTCCGCAGCGAGGAGCGTATGGCGGGTAGTACCCTCGCCAGGGATGGCTTGCGAAAAGACAGCTAACTTATAGCATCAACAAGGCCTAGCATGCCTGTGCAGTTGAAGCTTTGCAGACGTTGGCCATGTAGACAGTGCTCATGCAGCTGTTTTGTTTGATTTTGTAGTCTCACCTTCATACTAGAGGCATTGGCCTCAGTTCATGCGTGAAGTGGACTTGATGGATCCTGTTCAGGTCATGACTTCGAGAATGTTGCCCAGCAGCGATTGACCGTGGGCGTGTGAGTCGTTTTTCGGGAACACGTACTCCACGATGCAGATTAGTTCCCCAGTGACCAAGGGTCCAAAAAAACAAGGGTGCAGGGCGCACCTGCAACACAACTAGCCTGCTTTTATGTCATTATTCACTTCAGCCATCAGGTCATCAAGACCATTGCGAGGAGACTTGGCAAGCACCAACAGTTCTATACTGTCCTTTTTGCTTGATTTGGTTGTCTCGCTTGTTTGTAGAATGACCCGGTGACAACAGATGCCAAGGTTTGACTGCCTTACTCGCGGCCCTGTGTGTATGCAGCTGGAATTTTGTATCCTTCCCTGCCGTTCGCACCACGATCGGCAATGAGGCGCATGTCCATAAGACTCGGAGCACATGCAATTGTCGTAATTGTAGACCAAGAAGGATGTCTCGCCGGAAGGTCAGACCCGAAGGGCGGGCAGTTTCGTCTTCTGGCGGCATCAGCTCGTGTGACCTGTTCTTGCTTGGCTCCTGCAGTCGCCTGCAGCCTGCATAAGGTCTGGCAATTTTGCAGGCAAAAGCTTTTACGCAGGAACAAAGGCTCAGGAGACATGGCTGCTTCGCAAGTTGTCATCTCCGCTCCCTCGCAGCCCAAGAGTGTGAGTGCGTGCGAGGAGAAGGCCGTGAGCGACACCTCTCGCTCGACAGATGCTGTGACTGAGCTGCATCTTTCGTTTTTGCCTTTTTGCAGTTGGAGACACTTGACAAAGCGTGACACATCTCAGCCATCGCACGCCTGTCACCGAAGCTGAAGCAGAGGTCTCCTTGGCGCTGGCTGCAGCAGGATGCGCAGCCCTCCTGCTGCATACCAAACTGCAAAGGGAGCAAGATATGACGTGCGTTCTCCTACTTGCAGGTTTGTTCGACCCAATGGTGCATTGCCATTTTATGGCTGTGTTGCTTTTGCGATTCTCATTGTGTTCTGTGAGAAACGTGCTGATGAGGTTGCTATGAGGGCTGCCTCTGAGGCTTCTGAGGGAGCGGCCAAGGCCGACTGTGGGCACAGCCAAACGGTCGCACAGCCACACACCCACAAACCAAGACATGCACGACAAACAATCACATGAACATACAATCACGAACAAACATAAACAAACGCAACGAAGGAGCACACATCCGAACACATGACCACAACGAACCAAGGAAGGAAGCAAGGAAGGAAGGAGGCACATAAGGGAGCATGAAAGCATGGAACTCAGAAAACAAGGAAACACGGAAGTAAGTAAAGAAAGAAGCGAGCTAGAGAACGTACAGACGATCACATGAACATACGCCAACGCTCGGAAATTCGCACACACACACACACAATCGCAAACATTCGTGTGCGCACGACCACCTCACGGCTGCAAGCGCAGATGGGCACGCGTTCACCCGAGCGAGCGCTCGCCCGCATATTTTGATTTCTTTGGTTTTGCTATGCTTTTCTTTTTACCCATTGGCTCGAATGAAATCAGAATTGAATGTGAAGGAAGCGGTCGAGACTGAGACCAAGAGCAAAAGCTTTATGGCAGCTGGGCTGTGGTTTTGTTCAGCATGTCTTTACTAGAGAGAGCAAGCTACAACGATGAACGCTCAGGACAAGCATGGCGTCGTGGTCTACATCGGTCTGTGGTACGTCTTCAACATTGGTGCGTGGCTGAGGTGCTCAAAATCTGAACCAAGGGATGCATGTTTGGTGCCAGTGCAGATATTGATATTCCATAGCAATGCAAGGCTACAACATCTACAACAAAAAGGCATTGTGGCTCGGATGTACGTCTTTCAGCTTCAGTTTTCAATCTTGGCTCGGCTTGGCAAGGATCTCCTATCCCTTTCCGTGGGCCTGCGCTTTGTGGCAGATGGCGTTTGGCTGGCTCATCTTCGTTCCTCTCTGGACTGCATGTAGATTACTGTAGATTACTGTAGATTACTGTAGACTGTAGGTGGTGCCTTGCAACTTGTGCGTCCAACAAAATTGCGCGAGGATTTTGAGGGTGCGGAAGGCCGGCTTGTGAATCTCGACCCCGCTGTCACTGCCCACACCTGGCCGAGAGGTCCCAAAGCTTTCCGTCTCACAAGCGGTCACATTGGCACCTGCTGCGTGCTGTACTTAGTGATGACGAGGTGTAATGGTGACATCTCTTCTTTGCTTTGACAGTCACTCCGGTGCATCTGTCACATTCTCAGGCTGGGCCATTTGGCAACACACGTCGGAGCTGTTCTGGCCTTGGCTGCAACCATGTCCTCACTACGTGGACCACCCCGATGTCTGAGGTGGTTGCCTTCTTTGCTGGTGCCGTGTCCTTCGGACACATTGTGAAAGCCTCCGAGCCAGTCGTGTCCTCCTTCCTGAACTTTGCCTTCCTGGGTGAGGTAGCGGCACTTAGGGCTTTGGAGAGCGCAGAACCACAGACTCGGCCAGACTTTCATTTGACCTGCTAGGTCATGCCCTGGCAAGTGTATGCGTCTCTGGTGCCAATCATTGGCGGTGTGGGTCTTGCGAGCGCTTCTGAGATGTCCTTCAACTGGCCGCTTGGCTAAATGCAGTTGATAGACAATCCACAAATATGGAAGCAAATGCGTGGAATCTGAGGTTGTGCTTTGGGGCTGCGATGGGTTCCAATCTGGGCTCGGCGTCCAGGGCAGTCTACAGCAAGAAGGCACTCACGCACTGACTGACTGACTGGCTGGCTGGCTGGCTGGCTGGCCGCTCGCTGGCTGGCTGGCTGGCTGGCTGGCTGACTGACTGACTGACTGACTGGCATGCTGCAATACATAGCTATGGTGACTTAGGCAGCCTAGCTGCCAGGCTGTCTCGGACACAAAGAAGTGGGAATTCAGAAAATGCAAACACGCGATGCCGAAAACAGTAACGCAACAATATAGCAAGCAGAGCTACGTAATTTAGAAAGCAGGACAAGTCAAGATAATGGGGGATGATTGACACGCTTCGATGCTGTGAGAGCCGGCATGGTCAGGACGGTTGGGATGATGGACGCTCGGGACAGTCTTGATGATCAGGATGGTCGGGATGGTTGAAACAGTTACTACAGTTGGGTTGCTCGTGACGGTTCGGATGTTTAAGACGGTCGGGAGGCGGCTAGGGTTCGTCCAGGCTGCAAAATACAAGTATGTGCAATTAGGTAGAAATTGAGCGTGCAACCAAAACAGGCGCAAGTTACTGAGATTCTTTTATCCTAGGGTTGGATGCAGGTTTGGGATGGCTCAGGGCTGGCTCAGGGTTCTCAGGGTTCTCAGGGTTCTCAGGGTTGGCTCAGGGTTGGTTGCAGGTTGCTTTGGGGTGGGAGGTCTTGTATCGAGATGGTTGGTTATCAAAGGTGATTAACAACTGCTTGTTATATAGTTCCATGATTAGCTCTCTTTTTTTTTGAACATATCATGCTAATCAATGGTCTGGGTTTGGGGAGGTGCAGGCTTGGGGCCACTTTGGGATTGGCCAATGGTTGTTCAGGGTCGCCTCAAGGTTGGTTCAGGTTTGGTTTGGGGTGTGCTGCTTCAAGGATGCTTTAGGGTTCATTTGGGCCGTTTCTTTATGGGTTACTGGCTGGCTTGGGGTGGGGGGTAGGTTCGGATTGGTTTGGGGGGGAGGGGGTTTGGGGTGGCTTAGGGTTCGCTGAGGGTAGTGTTAGTGGGGTTAATCTGGGCCTGATTTGAGTGGGTCTCGGGTTGGGGCAGGCAGGACGCAATGGTCGGGAAGGTCAGGACATTTCCGATGGTAGGTACGCACGTTTGGGTTGCGGTCAGGATGGATGGAACGTCTGAGTTTGGACGGTTGAGTACCAGACAGTCAAGACTACAATCGGCACTGTCGAGAGAGGGCTGCGAACGTAGGGCCCCTGTTCCAACATTTCCTCAACCATCTTTCCAGGGCACCTGCAAAACGTGCGAATCTTTAGATTCATCCCAGTCCTAAGCTGTTGAGTCCTGTGCAAGCTCTCCAGCTCTGCAAGGTGATGAAGGGGGACATTGGCCAAGACCTTAGAACAGGCAAAAGAATAGAGCCCGTGTATACTCAATCCGCACACACACACACTTGAGTTCAAGGTGAGAACATGGACTCAGTGAACACATTCTCTGCTGCATTCTCAGGTCGCAGCTGTACTTGTAATTTTGAATGGATATTCTGAGCACTGATAGGCTTTGATTGCTTTTGGCTACCAATATCGCTAAGGTGCTGACCATCATGGCCACCTTCATGCTGATCCCCATTGCCTTGGCCATTGAGGGGCCAACAGTTGCTAAACCAAAGTTGGGTGTTTTTCACGTTCGATCGTGTGCCAAATTTGAGCATGATTCTTGTTTTCTCGCATGCATTCTAGCAGCTTGCAGCGTTTGTTCCTGCAAGTTGCTCCACTTGTTGACCGGGTCAGGTAACGTGTCTGCCATGTGGAACAGAGTTGTCTACCCAGCAAAACAAATTAGCACACAAGACATGCACTTGAAAACTAGCTGCTTCGAAACCGACAAAATCCAATTCCTGATCGTATTCGTGATCGTTGAAGAACACAGGCATTTGTAAGAGTTGCCAAAGCATAGCCTCAAGTAAACTGATCTTTCAGCGCAAACCTCAAACAACAATCAGGTATGTGAGCACTGCAACTGATGCTTTCATATGAGGCAACCTTCGAAATTGTCGTGGACCACTTTAGTAAAGCGTTTCAACACTGTTTTTTGCATGGGCACGATACGAGTTAATACAAAACGATACCCCTTGTGGCAGAGGGTCTCTCCGGCACTTTGAAGGTTGACTACGTAAAAGTCCGTAGAGGGTCGCTCGAGCTATTTGTTGAACTTACCCATGTTTTAGCAGTAAAGTGGCGTGGCACTGGTTTCCAACAATGAAGACTCATTGATGTTCTTGCTTTGTGAAGGTGGTGATGCATATGGTGTGCTCTCCTGAGGCAATGTTGAAGGGCTTCAAGCTTGCATATTCAGCGGGTGGACTGCATTTTATGCGGCAGAGACTTGGCTTTGCGCTTCAGCGGCTTACTCATGTGGCCGTAGTTCTTGGATCTTGGTTGCAGCCGAGGATGATCTTGAGAAACTGAGCTGCACTTGCAGTTGTAGAGCATGCCAACCATGCAACTCTGATGCATTTGACCCAGGCGGAGTCTTCTATTACATGTACAACGAAGTAGCTTTCCAGGCTCTGGGCAAGCTGGACCCCGTGTGGCTAGGTTTAGAAAGAGACCTGTCAATTGTTCATCCTTGGTGTGATAGCAAGCAAGGGTATCTTGTTCTAAGGTCGCATGCGGTTTGCAACACGATGAAGCGAGCCCCTGACTCAGCTGGACAAATTTCGATGGCCAGATGTTCATCTTGGAGCAGCCGGCTCTGCACCTTCCAGCCGCTTGGTGTTTGGGTTTTGGCCGGTAGGTGGTGATCATCATCACGGCCATCTTCGTATTCCGCAATCCGGTCACTGGCATGGGAATCCTTGGCAGCTCCGTTGCCATCGGAGGCACTCCGTAGCAATCACAACAGGGCTTGCATTGAGCTGAAGTTGCTGCGCTCACACACGCACATTGACGTAGATGTACGCAGCATGTCATTGCACACATGCTGCCTCTCTGACGTGAAGGCACGCTTTTGTATTCTCTTGCCAAGAACAAGTATGCGACGAAGCACCATGGTTGCAAAAAGTGGGTCTTCTCAATTTGTGTCCTGGAAGCATGTGCCTGGCAACCAAGGTGAGCAGTCCATATTTTTCCATTGGTTTTCTCGCTTTTCTCGAGCAGCTGCAAACCGCAGCTGCCACAGTTTTTTTCTTTCCAGCTCCCTTGCATGAAATGCGGACTAACTATACACTGCTCCTGCGTGAAATGTGTCAAGCGCGATATGCTTGGTAAGCAGCAAACTGAGAATCACCAATGTATCCTGCTTCAAAGCCACATATTTCACGCTGCGAACAGAATATATTAGGACTTGCAGGCCGCATTGAAAAAGGCAGCAAGCATATATCAGAGCTCATGTGGACTCGCATCCAAAGTAGTTTGGACATTTGGACCAGGCAACTGTCAACTAGATCTTCGAGTAAATAGCAGATGCACTTTGGACAGTTTGAACAATCCCTCTCCCGTTTCTTGTCTCGGCTCAGCAGCCCCTGGGGAAGCTGGGCATCGGCGTCACGGCAGGCCGGACATTTCGGAGTTTGCTATCCGAGGATTTGAGAGCCCTTATGAGCAACTGACGCGCAGTGAATCGTGTGCCAGGCGCAGCAGCCGCTAGTGCCTCGCGCTGTTCTCATGTTGCATGAGCTTGCATCGAAGCCAGCGTGACCCTCGCTACCGAGTGTCCATAAGGCCATGGTGGTGCTCTCGGCGGCCATCATCAAGAAAGACAAGACCCTGGTAGCGCGCCAGTCCGGCAAGTTGCACGCAAGTTCTGGCTCCACTAGTCTACCAGCATCAAAGTCACCCCCAAATGGTAGGTTAAAGGGACACCCCAGTTTCTGACTTTGATAACCCCTCAGAAACGGTTGAAAAGCTGCCCCCAGAAGTTGCGCGCAAGTTACACTGGAGGAGTCTGGTGTCCACAATGCTGCGATGTGCGGATTGCCAGGACAATTCGTTGAGATGACTCGACTTCGCATTGAGGCTTGTCATCGCATTTTAGTGATGCTTCCTGTCAACCATGATGCTTGCAGGGTCTGCTGGGCGCCTTCACAAAGCTTGTAGACAGCGGAAAAGACCACACCTTTGCCCTATTCCGAGTCACAGGACCAGCAAATTGCGGGATCGCATTACTTGTGGATCTGAGGTCGAAACGGAGTGCGCAGCCTCAGCCGCGGAAGCAGATCTCCACTCGAAAGTGCCCAACACTGCCAAGGTCGGTGCGTTATGTGTACCAGCCCATGGAGTCCCTAAACTTAGTAGTCATTACGAACAAGGCAAGCAACATTTTGGAGGCCGGGGCTTGTGCTCATGATTTTGTCATGGCAATGCTCCATGTTTTGCGAGTTCAACATCAGCAGTTTAGGACTTGGAGACCCTCCGCCTGCTGGCAAAGGCTTGGAGACATTGCCATGCCTCCGGGGCACATGGTACTGACCTGGCAGGTGGTGCAAGACTGCTGCGAGATTCAGGTCTCCGAGGAAAACGTGCCGAGCTCACATTGCAATAACATGTTCTGTTGCTCTGAAGGTTTATTGTCAGAGACGCAGACATGCAACAACTGCTCAGGTTCTGAAGCATGCCTTTGACATCGTTTTTGCCTTCGACGAGGCTTGACGTAGGTTTGGTCACTGTGCGCACACTCTGGTGTAGACACAAGGGAATATGACTCATATGTGTGATAGGATCAGGAACCATGCCAGTACACACTGGCAACGAACGCACACGCACGCACACGCATACACACAGACACACAGACACACAGACACACAGACACACAGACACACAGAGACACAAACACACGCACACGCATACACACAGACACACAGACACACAGACACACAGACACACAGACACACAGAGACACAAACACACAGACACACAGACACACAGAAACACAGACGCACAGACACACAGACACACAGACACGCAGACGCGCAGACACACAGACACGCAGGCACGCAGACACACAGACACACAGACACACAGACACCCAGACACGCAGACCCACAGACCCACAGACACCCAGACACGCAGACACAGACACGCAGACACGCAGACACGCAGACACACAGACACGCAGACACGCAGACACGCAGACACGCAGACACGCAGACACGCAGACACACAGACACACAGAGACACAGACACGCAGACACACAGAGACACAGACACACAGACACGCAGACACACAGACGCACAGAGACACAGACACACAGACACACAGACACGCAGACACAGGGACAGGGACACAGGGACACAGGGACACAGGGACGCAGGGACACAGGGACACAGGGACACAGGGACACAGGGACGCAGGGACGCAGACACACAGAGACACAGACACACAGACACACACACACACAGACACACACAGACACACACACAGACACACACAGACGCACACAGACACACACAGACACACACAGACACACACACAGACACACACAGACACACACAGACACACACAGACACACACAGACACACGCAGACACACACAGACACACACAGACACACACAGACACACACAGACACACACAGACACACACAGACACACACAGACACACACAGACACACACAGACACACACATACACACACAGACACACACAGACACACACAGACACACACACACACACACACACACACACACACACACACACACACACACACACACACACACACACACACACACACACACACACACACACACACACACACACACACACACACACACACACACACACAAACCCACACACACACACACACACACACACACACACACACACACACACACACACACACACACACACACACACACACACACACACACACACACACACACACACACACACACACACACACACACACCACCCCACACACACACCACACACACCACACACACACACACACACACACACACACGCAAAAACACAAACACAAACACAAACACAACACAAACACAAACACAAACACAAACACAAACACAAACACAAACACAAACACAAACACAAACACAAACACAAACACAAACACAAACACAAACACAAACACAAACACAAACACAAACACAAACACAAACACAAACACCAAAACAAACACAAACACAAACACAAACACAAACACAAACACAAACACAAACACAAACACAAACACAAACACAAACACAAACACAAACACAAACACAAACACAAACACAAACACAACCACAAACACAACCACAAACACAACCACAACCACAAACACAACCACAAACACAAACACAAACACAAACACAAACACAAACACAAACACAAACACAAACACAAACACAAACACAAACACAAACACAAACACAAACACAAACACAAACACAAACACAAACACAAACACAAACACAAACACAAACTCAAACACAAACTCAAACACAAACACAAACACAAACACAAACACAAACACAAACACAAACACAAACACAAACACAAACACAACAACAAACACAAACACAAACACAAACACAAACACAAACACAAACACAAACACAAACACAAACACAAACACAAACACAAACACAAACACAAACACAAACACAAACACAAACACAAACACAAACACAAAAACCAACACAAACACAAACACAAACACAAACACAAACACAAACACAAACACAAACACAAACACAAACACAAACACAAACACAAACACAAACACAAACACAAACACAAACACAAACACAAACACAAACACAAACACAAACACAAACACAAACACAAACACAAACACAAATACAAACACAAACACAAACACAAACACAAACACAAACACAAACACAAACACAAACACAAACACAAACACAAACACAAACACAAACACAAACACAAACACAAACACAAACACAAACACACACACACACACTTGTGGTAATCCCCCCTCTTTGATTTATGCTTCGGCTCTCCTATGCGTGTGCTCGTGGCTTGTTGATCTAGTTACAGTCGAGGGTACAGGATCATAAGCCGCAATGGCTAAACGGGAAAATGGTGAGACATCGGAGTAATGAAACTGAATTAATCGGAGCAAGGTTTGTAGCAAAGGGGCTCTAAACGCAAACAGCGCCAAAAAGTTCAAATGGGACAGCAAGCTGCGTCAACTGCGCCCATGCCTGTCCGTGACAGGCAGGTACGTTTTCACCCCGGCTCAGGGGCGTCTTCGTTGGCCAGAGTCCCCTGAGCCGGGCTCTGGCCCCCTGCGTGTCATGCTTCGTCTGATTGGAAAAATTGCGCAGGCTAGCTAATCTACCCGTTTGCCCCAGATTGGGCATTGGTCTGGCGCGTGAAAAGCGCTAGTTCAAATGGTAAATGCGCCTGGCGCATTAAGCAGCCTGGGACCGCTGCGGCAAAAAACACGAGAGGCCCTTAGTGACAGGGTTGGACACACACAGCCAGCCCAACGGGCGACTCTGCACGTTAAAGCGCAATAACAGAAAAGCCTTTGATGACTGGGTACCAACACAGGCATCTGGCTCTTCGGGCAAGAGCTCGCGAGCTCAGGGAACCGGCGTGGGGATCAGGGGCGAGAGGTATAGCATCCCTCTTTGTTGGATGAAACTGCGGTGAACACCAAAGCCGCCAATTGTTCGGTGGGAGGGTTCCTTCAAAAGGTAGCCGGAAAAAACCAAAAAGAGAGAGAGGGACCGTGTTGTCGGTCCTCAAATATATGGGGCATATGCAACTCAGATCATGGTTCGCCGAGGCAAAGTACATCCGAAACCGCTGAAAAATCCGAGTGCTCGGCACGGAAGCGTTCAACACTGCAAAGGTCTTTGCGCTCCACGCAAACTCCGGCAGGGAATCCAATCACGCCCAGGAATTCCTTCCTCACCTAGTCCCCTGGCCATTGCGGCGTCCAAGGCCAGACCAAGCCCCAAGAAAACCAAGAAGCCCGAGAGGGACCCAACCACACCCAGGGATTCCTTCCTGTGCCCTGCCCCCCAAGCCATTGCGGCGAACAACCACGTGCGGCTGGAGGGAGGCAGGCCAGGCAAAAACAAAGGAAAACCCCAAGAAAACCAAAGAAAGAAAACAAAGAAGCCCAGCGACACGCAGGGATTCCTTCCTGTGCCCTACCCCCCTGGCCAATGCGGCGTGTAACCACGTGCGGCTGGAGGGAGGCAGGCCAGGCCAAACAAAGGAACGCCCCAAGAAAACCAAGAAAACCAAGAAACACAGGCGGGGAATCCACCCAGGGATTCCTTCCTGTGCCCTGCCCCCCTGGCCATCGCGGCGTATGACCACGTGCAGCCGGAGGGGAGGCAGGCCAGGCTACACCCAGAACCACCCCCACGAAACCCAACCACACTCCGAGATTGCGTGACGTCTCGCCAACCTGGGTGGCCTGAAGGTTCAAACGGTCGGAATTTGCGACTTCTGAGATTAAAGGCGCAGGAAACCAAAAGCTTGGATTCGAGCCGAAAGCAGAACAAAAAAGCAAACGTGGTAGTGCCCATGCTGTACAGCGAACATGGCACGATGGCACGTGGTCACAAAATTGACTACGATCAGAACATCACACCGACGTACAGGGCATTTTTTGCAACGCTGTCAAGATGCTTGTCATGCGAACATGCCGGAACGGATTAAAAGGTCAGGTGCAATAGCTGATGCGACAAGGCCATGCCATGCAACACCCCGAATCACGAATCTGAATTATTCGCCGCTGGATATCAGCGACCAAGGATTAGTCAGGATTGTATGGCAACTGATGGGCGCAGTGGCTGGGGCAACCACTTGGTGCCCCAGTTGTCTGAGTGATCTTGCACTAGGAACACTCCGTCGATGGCAGCCAAATCGCTGCGCACACACCATCGTTTGTCTTTGCTGCCACTACGCACTGCGGGGTAAGAATAGGCAAGAGCTTGTTCCTTCCAGGTATCCCCTCGGTTGAACTTGTAATGAGTGCCGGACACAGTCCCCGTTACTCCCACATTGGTGGTGTTTTTGGGGTGCTCCGAGCACGCAAGCAAAAAGTCAAGGATACTCCGCTCATGGTAGCACTCGGTCGAGACTCTACAGAAAAAACCTAGTGGGCATTTCCTGCCGACCTGGGACCCACTTTCAGAGTCAAGCGCTAAGGTTTCAGCCGAAGTTGGCATGATGATGCCGGTGCGAAATATCCCGGCTAGGCCTAGCTGAGAAGAAAAATGAACAAACCGCATGGAATACTCGCCAGCTACACGGTCTTGATTGACTCCGGGAAAAGCTTGGGACGGGTACAGCCAAACAGCGGTGCCGGTAGTGGCTGTAGCTGCTACCGCACGCTGGTTAAAAATCTGGGTGTACGGCATTTCCGAAGCAATGATCGCGCTGGCCAAAACATGCACGGTTGAGATCGGAACACCATTGACCGGGTCCTCTGGTGCTACGGGCGCCAAAACTAAAAGGTGCCGAACGCATTGTTCCACACTTGACGGCGGGACACGGCTGAAAGGTGTCACATTAGCTTGAACCCAGGCCTTTCGGCGCTGGTGCTCCACGACGTCTTGAATCGTCAACGGGAACAGCCAGTGCGGGGAGAGCATGTTATCTGCCTGTCGTCGAAGAATGCGTTGAAGCCAGTCTTGGACTGTCTGATCAACGAACGTCTGGCCAGGCACAATGAGACCACTCGCGGTGAATTCCGACTCCCGATTTTCAACTGAGGTTCGAACAACGAGGTTGGCATCAGGCTTTGACCCTGCTGCCTCGGGATGTTGCGGAGTAGTGTCCTTCTCAAGGACCGGTGTACCAGGGCGGAATTCGTGAGAAGACCAGGCTTCATGTCGCGTGACCCGCTTGGCAGGCTGCGCGCAGGAAACGGGCTGCCGGTTTTGAGCAGCCGTCTTTCTTTCGGGTGTGCGCGGTCTCTTATCATTTGCAGTGACTAGCGGGGTTGCTCTATGTGGAGCATGGTAGTAAAGAGGTCCGTAGCCTAGGGCACTAGTCTTGGAACCAGATGCCGGAGGCTGAGCCGGTCGGTTTTTGAAAAAAATCGACTGAGGCGGCTGACCCCTGCTAGTAAGCCATGGCGTGTGAGATTGGATCGGCGCGGGATGTGGTCGCTGTGGGACATCAAACCGCCCGGGAGGAAATGCAAGTAAATCATGTCGCGCTGCAGCTTGATGAGGGGTCGCAGGGTGCCCAGGGTGCCTAGGGTGCCCAGGGTGCCCAGGGGGTTCCGGGGTGTTTGGCGGCAGCGTTGGTTGGCGAGGGAGGCTTCGACTCCGACACCTGCCTTGCCTGGAACGCTTTCTGTGGCGCTTGGCGTGGCGATCGTCACGCCGACCCCTACCCCTGCGCTCGCGAGAGGTTCGATCTCTGTGCTTGCGCACTTGATTCCGGGAACGGGAACGTCGACGGGATCGTGATTTGTCCCGTTGACGAGTCTGCGGTCTGTCCTGACGAGCATCAGGTTGAGACTGCTGCTCGGGGGGGTCAAAAAATCCTGGCGGCGCTTCCAAGACACGGTGGGAAGGCCTATTCGGATCGGGCGCGTGCACGGTAAGAAGGCTTGGCTCGTGGCATGCAGGACGAATTAGTGACCACTGCTGAGCTGGCGAGGAATTCGCTGTAGCTCTGCTATCTGCAAAGAACTGAAACACATAGGTTGTCATGGCGGGATTCCGTGTGCTTAGATACACGGCCTAGGAACACCAGGTCTCGGGCCAAAAGACTCCAGAGAGCAAAAGATCAGAGAGGCAAGAGGTCTCCAGATCATGTTGGCGCGGAACGGAATGCGCAGGTGTGAAACCAAGTTCATCAGAAATATATGGTTGCCTTTCAACGATGCCGGCGCAGAATTGTTCTCGACACAGACCTCGCCTAATTCACGCGAAGCACTGGTTTGGTCGGCATGTTGCAAGCATCTGGTTAAAGCAAAAGAGCGGACGGATACCCCTTGTCTATATACAGTTGACGGAGCGCATGCAACTGGGAAGCCTTGGCTGCTGGCGGCCAGGCATATTTGCGAATTAATGCTTTTCGGGAGTTGTAGCTACTAAGCATAAGTCTCCAAGACCCGGCGCTCTGCGGATGTTTGATCATCCACGGCTTCTCCGGCAAAACGAACATGGCTGAGCGATCATGGGCACAAATCTGGAATCCAGGCCATTTGTGATCCTGCACGGATTCAAGTTCTATAGACCCTCCATAAAAGGACGGCTGCAGAAATTCTTTCATGACAGGGTGAGACATAGCTTCACGACTGGCCAAGATTAACCGGTTGTCCGCATAGCGGAACAACAAAACTTGACGGGTCTCTTGAAGAAACTTCTGAAAAAAGCCCTGGGTGTGCCAAGACTTAAGCCAGGTTCGTTCTTTAAGAATGACTGGCAAGCTGGAAAGGACAGGGCTTATCTGGTTTCCTATACAGGTCCCTCGGATTTGCCTGTAAACTCGGCCTGCTGTTTGAAATATCCCAAGCTCAAAAGACAGTTCAACGATCTTGGGGACGTCGCTCAAACGCACGCTCTTTGCGTGGGCGTTGGAGCCGCCTCGGGGCTTGCCTGGCAGAGCTTTGTCATGTTTAGCGGTCCGGGAGAGAGTCGTGCTGACGTGCAGAAATTCGTGAGTTGCGCCATAATCTGCAAGAAGTTGGCGAAGTGCTTGCAGGATGTCTGCCCTCGGAACAGAATTAAAGAACCCAATAAGGTCATCGTTTGCCTCGAGAAGGTGCACAGAAGGATGCGTAGTCCGCAGAAATTGATGTGGTTCCTGCCATAAACGAGGAAGACTGTACATTCCAAGTCCGTCAACCCAAACGGTTTGAAGAAGCAAAGAAATGACCTGAGATGCCGCTTTGAGGAGCTTCTTCATTAAAGAGTTGCTGTAGGATATTATCGTGCGGCCCTTCTTGAAGCGTTTCTTCCGCTTCAAGAAAACAAACCCACGGGGGAGCTGAGCTCCCCACGTGAAGCCCCAGTGGTACCGCGTGGCGAGGGAGGATGGGACTTGATACGTGACCCAGCGCTGCCACTCCTCGGGGGATCCTTCGTTGGAAAACATCGGGGTCGTCCCATGTGCGGAATACTGACTCATAATAGAATCGCGGGCAGTAAATCATCAAATGTGAATTGTGGTGGTCTTCATTGTGAATCACCACCCGAAAGTCAAGCAAATTGCGCGTCTTTTGGACGTCTTGCCAAGTTAGTCGGGGCTCAAAAATGAGAGATTCGTAGTGAAGCTTCCACTGTTGAAGAAGTAGCTGTTCAAATTCCGTCTCAACGCTCGGTGGCAAGGATTGTTTCTTCCGCCACTTGGAAAAAACGAGCAGGTTGCGACGAAAAAAGTGTGTTTTGCCTGGGAATACCGTGGAGGTGGCGCTACAGTTGCCGATCCATTCCATCCAAGGATGATGGAGGGCTAGTTGTTCAAGACCACAGGCAATGTGTCCGTCGATCATACAGGTCGCGTCAGCGAAAATAGATCCATCACAGCAGCATGGTAGATCAGCAAGGGAATGCCAGCAGAGCCATTCATCCCACGCTGACGTGTTATGTAAACATTTGAGAAGGGAACGGTGGGGCGCTTCTCGAATTTGAGTACTGGGCAAGTGAAAAGGCACCAAAATGTGTCTGTAACGGCGGATCTGACTTTTCAGCCACTCCCGAATTTCTCGAGAAAAGGATCGGTGAGCCATGGGCTGAAGAGAAAGGGTTCCAGCCTTGGAAGGCCAGGTCATCTGCCTATAATTGGCAACTTGTTTCAGCAGTTGCCGGGTGCGAGAGCGTAAAGGCTCTTCCAGAGTCAGGCTAAGCCTGATGACTGCGTACACTTCATCATTGACATACCGAGAGGACCGAAGTACTGTACAGGCACGGAAGCTAGCAAGTGTGTGGCTAGCTACATCAAACAAGATTTCCCACGCTTGCTTTCTTCGTATTGAGAAGGCAGCGGGTTGGCTGGAATAAAAAAGTCGCTTCCTAAGTTTGCGCCATAACCGGAGACCATGTGTTGAAAATTCAGTCAGGCGTCTCCTTTTCTTTGTGGGTCGGAACCCTAGCGCAGTGCGTTTCAAACGTGTCAGAATG